CTGATAACCAGGTAAGGTTTCTTCTCATTTTTTTGGGTAAAATACAAAAACCTCCCCTGAAGTTTCTAACAATCATAAAAACCTCCTCTATAATTTCACTTTAATAAAAATATATTTAAAGAATTTGACAAAAACCTCCCTTCCGTCACTAATTCAGACAGAAAACCATTAAATTACAAAAATGCCCCTGATTAATCGTTAGGGCATCATTAAAATATTTCAACATACTGGAATTGTAAAATTTTCAAAACATTGGTTCCTAATTGAGTTTTAAAGAAGCTTATTCAGTAGTTCATTTTGTTCCAACAATCGAATACCAGTGGCTTAAACAGGTGGTAGGAGTCATGGCATTACAAGAACGATTTTTGTTGGCAGTCTGGCGAGTGTAGAAGCCATGAAAATGCTTGCCAAGTTTTTAGCTGATGGCTTGCAAAAGGGACGGGTGAAGAGAGGAAGAAGGTCGCTTATGAGATTCAGTTACTTGTAAAATCAAGCATATTCAACATGTCTTGCTTGACAGATGCAACGCAATCCCCAGTTTATTAAAGCTTCTATCCACGACTAGTCCATCAATACAAGAGAATGCCATGGCAGCCCTGTTGAACCTTTCCAAACATTCCAAAAGCAAAATGTTAATTGTCAAGAACAATGGGTTGGGATTGATTTTGGACGTTCTAAGAGGAGAAATTACAAAACATTCTAGCAGTTGCTACATTTTTTTTGTATCTTTAGTTGAGGAGGACGAGAAACTAATTGGAGAGATGCCAAATGCAATCTCTTCCTTGTAGAGCTGATGAGGATTGGAACAGCTCGTGGGAAGAAGAATGCTTATGAGGAGAAAGCAAACCACCACTACTGAGATTTGCAGCGGTGGTCAAAAGAAACAAAGGAAGGGAAAACATAAAGAAGAAGAAGAAACAAAAGATTGGGAAGAAGATAAAGAAAGGAAGAGAGAAATAAACAAAAAAAATAGGAGAGGGAAGAGAAGAGCGGAGAGAAAGAGAGAGCTTTGATGAGGTTGTCGTTGCTAGTTGCCGAAACTTTGTTCACTACCGCTGTGAAGAAGATGAATTGTGCCTTTTGGTTGCTTTGGCTTGATGGAAGAGAGGACGGACAATGGGGACGGAGAAGAGAGGTGGAGAAAGAAGAAATCAAGGACAAAAACCAGTGAGGGGAGATTGGGGGAAGGATTTCTTATCATTCCCTTGTTCTGCAACAAGAGGAAGGGGAAGCAAGGGCAATTCCAGTATTTTGAAATATTTTAATGATGCCCTAATGATTAATCAGCGGCACTCTTGTAATTTTAATGGTTTTCCATCTAGGTTAGTGACGAAAGGGAGGTTTTTGTTGAATTCTTTAAAAAATCAGGGGAGGTTTTATTAAAGTGAAACTATAGTGGAGGTTCTTATGATTGTTAGAAACTTTTGGGGAGGCTTTTGTATTTTACCTTTTTTGGATAAATTTTTTAAACTACCCTTATGGTTTAACTAATTGACTAAGTGTATCCTTACTGTTTAAAAATTGACTAACACTACTCCTATTGTTTTTGACAATTGACTAATACTTTCCTTACCGTTAGCACCCGTTAACAAAAAGACAAAAAATACTATTTTACCCTTTATTCTTCTTCAAATTTTCAAAATAAAATAGAGAAAAAGAATTTTGGACTCATCCTGAATCGTTTCCCATCAACATTTCCTCTGATTATACCCACAGAAATCAATTAATCCTCATTAAGAATTAATCCCTCCCACAAAATAGCTTGTCTATGTCTAACCATAACAAAATGGCGAGAAAGGAAATTAACCCTCCTACCATTCAAATTATTTCCTTAAATAGTTAAGTGGTAAAGATTCAGCAACATTCCCAAACTTTAAACCAGGCCTCAAAACCCAAACATCGAATTCTAAGAAAAACCCAAATTAAGTGTAACTTGTATGAAAATAGGGGAAAATTAAAAAAAAAAAGAGCACCGAAGCTAGAATCCAAAAATAGTACACCAAATCCAGCAAATAGTCCAAAAACCTTTGAAGGTTGTCAGCACTGCAAAGGCCGAAAAGAACCAGGTGAGTGTTCTCCGTCTCACCGGCCCCATTAAATAACGACTTACCGAAAAGAAAAAAAAGAAAAAAAACAAACAAATCGATCATAGAAAACACAATTGAAGAAGGAAAACACCCAAAATATATCAGGACAGAATCTTGAGCTTGCCTAATGCTAGAAGGTGAGGACGTTGGACTTAACAGCACAACCAGGTGGGCCATAGTCATAAAGACCAGGAACACCATGATACATGTTGAAGGAGGGGATGTAGACCAAGCGCCGCTCTAATGTATTAACGGCAGCTTGGCGGAAAGCATCCCAGTTAACAGTGTTATGTCGTCGTCGCTGCTAACGATGGCGTGGAGTTGCCTTTCAACGGAGGCCTTCTCCAAAAATAGCATGAGTTTACCTGTGTCAATGCTAAATCGTCCGACGATGGAGTTGATGTTTGTCTGACGGACAAACTAGAGCAGACGACTGTAATGAGGGAGAAATGCAATCTGTGGAGAGGTGCAGTAGAGGGTTGAGTTCCAATAGGGTTGGAAGTTATAATAAGGGTAAATTAGGTATTTTTTTAAATTATAAGGGTGTACATTTGAATGGTTTATAACGTAACCTTAACGTAAGAGAAGTATTAATCAATTTTCAAACAATTAATTAGTTAAGAGTTTAAGAAATTCATTCTTTTTTTAGCGTAAAATATAAAAACCTCCCTTAAAATTTTTGATAATCATAAAAACCTTCTCTATAGTTTTATTTTAACAAAAATCTCCCTTTTACTTAAAAAAAATCAACAAAAACCTCCTTCCGTCAAGATAAAAAACGTTAAATCAGTGATATTTTTTCAAAATACCTATGATGGAAACCATCCACAGGCAACTCTATCGTGGGCTTAAACATGACGAAGACAGAAAATCTCGTGCTCTTCGACAGAAACAATGGAGCCGTTTGGTAGTAGAAGGGTAGAGGCTCATAGCCAGCATCTCATCTTCGAACTGGTCTACAAGTGTCCTATCACTTTTCGTTACTAGCAATGAAGCTGTCTGGTTTGTTTGCTCTTCGAACTGGTCTACAGGTGTCCTAGTAATGGCTTGTTTGCTCTTCGAACTGGTCTACAGGTGTCCTAGTAATGGTTTGTTTGCTCTTCGAACTGGTCTACAGGTGTCCTAGTAATGGCTTGTTTGCTCTTCGAACTGGTCTACAAGTGTCCTACATGTGTCCTAGTAATGGTTTGTTTGCTCTTGCTCTAAATGCAGGACCGAGCCATGTTAGATTCCTGAATGGAAATCTCTCTCTACATATTGTCTGCCGAGCCATGCCAGCCTGATGATACAATTCCTGTGAAACCAACAACCTTGATACAGTACATTAAATTCGGGTCAGATGGGTATCTGAGAGTTTACGTGTGGAACTCGACCTCAGGGTGGACAGAAGTGGGCGATCTTCTGACAAAAGATTTATCTGATGGAGAGTGTAGCTACCCAACTGTTTGTGGGATTACGGTATTTGCTCAATTGGGCAGTGCAGTTGTCTTGGAGGAACTGGTAGCAACCATAGCTATTTTAGGCAATTAAGTGATAGGCAACCGGATCTCGGTTGCTCCAAAATTACTCCATTTCTTGTGAAGCTTCTGAAAATCACAATTTTCAAGAGTTAAAGGATGTTACTTACTTAATCTTTTTCATCAGTGATGCAAACACAACTGGAACGAGTTTGGAGAATTGTAGGCAGGCATGCTTGAATAACTACTGTTCTTGCAAGGTTGTTTTGTTTTTGCATCATACCAATGCTTCCGCAAGTAGTTGCTTTTTGCCAACCAAACTTTTTTCATTGATGAACAATGATAAGAACAAATATAAGTATAATATGTCTGCATTCATTAAGGTGCAAATACCAAATGTTTCTTCTGCCCCATCCCTTCTTCTTGAAAAGAAAACAAGCCAGACTGCAATAATATTAGGATCTAGTCTTGCAGCTCTGCAGTTTGTATCTTGATTATTCTTTATAGAAAAAAAAAATGAGGAGGGGAAATATGAGGAGGATGACTTACATCAAGTACCAGAATTGCCCAACCCAGGAGATTCTCTTATCAAGATCTCAAAGATGCAACAGAGAATTTTTGTAAAAAGCTTGGGGAAGGAGGATTTGGATCGATTTTTGAAGGGACTCCCGGAAATGGCACAAAAGTTGCAGTGAAGTGTTTGGGTGGTTTGGGTCAAGTCAAGGAATCGTTAAAAGCTCTTTCGATGCAGGAAGTATGCATAGTATGAAATTGTTCCTTCTTCCAAATCAGGTCCCAGGTTCATGACGATTCCTTCCCCTAAACTCAAAAGTAACGGGAAAAGGTCGGTATTGGTATTACCAATATTCGCACCATTCCCGTAGTTGTCACTGGAGTTGTATGTCACGGGCTTCATTTTTCTCCACATCTATGCAGCACTTGTATATCGAAATCGAATGCCGCCAATCGCTCCAGTGAAGAAATTGACCAATCGGATAAAGCATGGCCGTCGTCCGGTGAAGAATCATCGACCAACAGGATGAAGCACGGTCATCGTCCGGTGAATAATCATCGCCGAAAGATGTACAAAATATTCCGGGAAGTGAAAGATTTTGATAATTCTTCCTCGTTATGCTCATCTTTAGATTGCATAAAATATGAAACTACGATAATAAGAGGGGGCAAAGGGCATTTTAGTCAAAATAGGTGTGCAATAACTCTTAAAGGGGTAAAATAGGTATTTTAAAAAAACTATCATGGGTTTAACGTTTTCCGTTTTGATCATCGACGGAAGAGAGGTTTTTATTGATTTTTATAAAAATAAAGGGAGGTTTTTGTTAAAGTAAAATTATAGGAAAGGTTTTTGTGATTGTCAAAAACTTCAAGGGAGGTTTTTGTATTTTACCTTTTTTTTATATAACAGGTTTCTTCTCATTTCGTTTAACGATCAATCCTCTTTTTCCTTTTTTTATTTTTTTTTATCGTTACGATATATCAACCATAATTTGTTTTTGTTCTGCGATTCAACCTGGCTAATCGAGCTTCTCTTCTCCTCTTCTCCAACTAGCGGCGGCAACTTCTCCTTGACCGATAAACAGGTAAGGTACTTTTTCATTTCGTTTTTTTTTTCTTCTGTCGTTTTTTCGGTCCAGCAATCCTCTTTGGTTTTTGTTTTGTTCGTATACTCTGTTTCGATCGACCATTTTTTTTTTTTTAATGTTGGGTTTTCACAAGTTTGAAGTTGGATCTGCGTCCAGGTTGGTTATACGTTGGTTTTTTGTTTTTCGTTTTGCCCCAAATCCTTTATTTGTTTTGAATTCGAATCTCTGTTATTTTGCCCTAATCTCTAGCAATGTAAATGATTGGAAAACACTGTATTCTCATTCTCAACATGCTATGGAGTAGAAAACACTTTGTGTCATTGTCTCAAGGAAAGCATTCTTTATCTGTTATTTCTTAGAAGAATCATTAAGGTCTCAAAACAATTTTAATGTATTAGCACTCAAATTGACTTGCCAGTAAATTTGGATTCTTATCTGAATAGAGGAAGAGTTTAATATATACTTCAAACTTGGTGCGTATGGGAGACTTATGAAGTAAAATCTTGCAAAGAAGGGAGGGTAGGAAGGTTGTGCAAGAGAAGAAGGAAGACATTGAGAAAGGGAAAAGGATACTATAGTTATTTCCGTTTTTTCAGGTACAAGTTTTTTTACCGTTTGGAAGATCTCACACTTTCGGTCCTCCATTAACATCATCACTCGCGTGTCTAACAACCACATACTCCAAAATTGGGGTCTGAGGTACCTGACGCACACTAGGTACGTTATCTTCCTCCTCCTCCTTTCACTTTCCTCCTTAAAAGTTGTGTATGATCTATCATTGTGTTAGTTGGATGGAAAAATACATTCTTAAGTAGAGATTTGTAACTTGCAAGAGGAGATGTATATGTTGCCTCCTTTCGGTTTCAACAGTCTAGGAGATGATGGCAATGTGTGTCATCTCAAGATGTCAACTTGTGGGATAACACAATCTCCAAGAGCCTTGTTTGATCAGTTCAGGGATGTAGTCAAGGATTGATTATTTTCAATCAAATTGTTGATCATAAACTCCTTATCAAGAGAAAGAGATCTTCTTTGGCAGTTGTGTTAGTGTATGTGGATGATATTGTAATCATAGCCTCATGTGTATTAATTATGTTGAGATTTTGTAGCTAAAAAATTCTCAAGAAGTTAATTTGTGGGTTCCTTGGAAACTTGCCGCTCGAATCTCACCAGATAGACAAAACCCTAGATGTATCAGGCAAAGTGACTTAGAGGCAGCATAGAAGGATTCAGTCTCAGGCGAAGAAGGTACAAGTGTTATTGATTCAGAAGATATTGTAAGCCTGGGGAGTGTAGATTTAACTCGTTCAATGAGTCTCCTGGAAGCGGACAATCATCAAATTGAGCTTCTCTTTTCTAAGGAAGCAGTAGAAGGCATTAAGGAAGTTGGGGAGGACGCCGTAGCTATGAACGACCGTACAATAATTAAGAGATCAATAGAGATACCTCTAGCCTTCCACAATAGACTCAGGAATAGGAAATGGGTTTAGACTGGAACTTGACCTTTGAAACCCTTGATCCGAAGATAGGTCCCTCGACTCCCACTCAAGCAGGTAACTTTGTCCTTTTCGTTTTGGCTGTTGATGTGTGTATTGTGCTTGTAACAAATATTCTAACATCCCAGTTGAATAGACCAGAGCAGGAAGGGAGGTGTGAATTAGGAGCTATGAGTAGTGAGAATGTGAGATGGGTTTGATCCTAAAGAAGAAGCAAGAGGAGTTGGAAGGATTATGGAACCAAATTTGTGCCTTATTGGAGGAGTATAAGAAGAAGGAAGAGGAATTAGAGTCACCTTACAAGACTAGTGTGGGGGAGAGGAGAAAACTCCAGCTAGGAAGCCTAGGACATGACAACCTATAATCTCTTAGGTTATAGAAGAATTGGCAGGTGAAGGAGAGTCGATTAATGTGAAGGAACAAAAAATGAAATGCAAAAAGAAGAAGAGATCAAAGGTGGAAAAATTAATTTCTGATATTGAGGGAGACATTGAGTTCAATGGCAAAGGAAAGAGGAGGAAGGTTCCATGTTAAGGAAGCCTCAAGCTTAAAGAGGGACCTACAGCTAGTGTGTGGCTAGACGAAGATTATTAGCTAGAATGTGAGAGGCTTGGGAGTGCAAGGAAAAGAAGGGTGGTTAAGGACCTCCTAAGGAGAGAGAGAGAGAGAGAGACCTAGCATAATTTTATTGCAGGAAGCTAAGTTGCAGAGTTAGACAAGAGATGGGTGAGAAGTGTGTGGAAATCTAGGGGAGTGAATTGGACTCGGGCTCCTTCTTGGGGAGCCTCTAGAGGTTTAGTTGCTATGTGGAGAGAGGATGTGGTGGAATCAATAGAGTAACTCATAGGAAGGTTTTCTATGTCATTCAAATTGAAAAACTTGGACGATGGTTTTACTTGGGTCTTAACTAATACGTATGGACCAAATAATTATAGAGAGAGGAACAAATTGTAGGAGGAATTGTATGGAATCAATGGGTTATGGGATGGTCCTTGGTGTCTAGGAGGAGAATTTAATGTCATCAAATTTTGCAATGAGTCCAATAACCCTTGAGGTGTGGTCACAACGATCATGAGAAAATTCAATGATATCATTAATACTTGTTGGTTGAAAGAGATCTCATTGTTGGAAGCTAGTTACACATGGCCCAATTTTTAGGAAAACCTTCTTTGCTCTAAACTAGATAGATTTCTCTTCAATGAAGGGTGAAATAACCATTAGAGGGATTTGGTGGCTAGGGCTTTTCCTAGAGCAACCTCTAATCATTGCCCTATCCAGCTAGGCCAAGAACTCTTAGGATTCGAACCTTGCTCTTTTAGATTTGAAAAGGCTTCATTGCTATCCCAAATTGAGGAGCTCAATATTAAAGAACCACAAGGGACTTTGGATGAGAAGGGAAAGAGCATTGAGAAGAAAACTCAAGAAAGATTTGGAAGATGCTCTTTTGAGAGAAGAGATCACTTGGAAACAAAAGGCTAGGCATAAATGGATAAAGGAAGGAGATGGGAGTACTAAGTACTTTCATGTCTTAGCTAATGAAAGTAAGAGGAAGAACTTTATGGCAAAATTGGAAGTTGATGGTGAAGAGATTACAAATCAGGAAGAAATAGTAGGGAGATTTGTGGATCATTTTCAAGTCTTTGTTGATGAGGCCTTTGAATAATAGGTCCGGGATGGAAGGATTCGATTGGCCAAGGTTAAGTGAGGAGAGTGTGAATTGGTTGGAAAGGGATTTTGAGGAAGAGGAGATTAGATAGGCAATGTTCCTAATGGTAGATCAAAAGCTCTTGGCCTGAATGGTTTTATCATGGCTTTTTATCAGGATTGTTGGGATGTGGTGAAAGAAGACTTAGTTGGGGTCTTTAGGGAGTTTGTCAATAGACATCAAGTGAGTTGGGGAGTCAATGCCACCTTCTTGGCCCTAACTCCTAAAAAGATATATGCAAGTCACCCTAGGATTTCAAACCGATTAGTCTGATAACAAGTACCTACAAATTCTTGGCTAAGGTTTTTCTTTGAGGCTAAAAGCAATATTACCTCCTTTAATAAGCTAAACTCAAGGGGCCTTTGTGCAAGGGAGACAAATAGTTGATCAAATACTAATAGCCAATGAATGTGTGGAGGAAATGAGGAGGTTAGGCTAACAAGGTGTTTTTTTTGTAAATTAGACCTTGAGAAGGCTTATGACTTGGTGGATTGGAGTTTTACTAATTGAGGTCCCAAGGAATTGTGGCTTTGGTGATAGGTGGTGCAATTGAGTGAAGAGTTGCATTAGTTTCACTCACTTTTCAGTGTTGGTAAATGGTGTGGTTAAGGACTTATTTCCAACCTCTAGAGGATTAAGGCAGGGAGACCCCATCCCCCCCCCCCCCTTTCTTTATCCTTGTAGTAGATGTTTTCAATAGGCTACTCTCAAAGGTAGATAGGGAAGAGACAATAAGAGGTTGGAGAATAGGAAGGAATAGAGTCCCAATGACTCATCTCCAATTTTCTGATGATATTATTTTTAGGGGGGGGAGGGCTAAAAAAGTGAGGAATCTTAAAGATTTGTTTAATTACTTTGACTCAAACCTGAAGACAAACCTGGAGAAGAGCAGCATGGTAGGGATAAACTTTGATGAAGGGTTATTGAGTCTATGGCAGAATGTTTAAGTTGTCATGCCGCCTCTTGGCCTCTATCTTATGTTGGGCTTTCTCTAGTGGCTAACCTAATCCAATCCTTGAAAACTTTGAAAACAAAAACTAGCGGCTTGGAAAAAGGGTTATATCTCTCTAGGAGGTAGAGCATCTTCTAACCTAAGGAGATTATAAGATTGTTATGGGCTGGTTAACGGACCCAGGCTCAGTGATTTGGTGCTACAATGGTTTCCTAAAGAAGGCAAGCTGGTTAACAAGTAACATGATTGTTAGCTCACATTGGGGAAGCAGGTCAGCAAATGCTTTGGCTGATTATTTTGATAAACAAGGGGTATTGAGAACATCTAAGTAAACATTGTAATGCTTTGTTTCTAGTGCATTGTTGGTTTACTTTCAAGGGAGGTCACACCTCGTGCCTCTCCTTGGGGTGCTTGTAACTTTTCTTATATATTGTTAATAAATCATTTTTCAATTATCAAAAAAAAATGATAGAAAGGAATTGATAAAAAAAATTGAGATAAAGGAACTAGGAAAATTGGATTTTTTTTTTAATATCATAGTGCAAGTTTATTAAAGTATTAAACCTCTTGAAGGAAATTGGGAAATTGGGAGTTAAACTTCTTGATACTCTAATTAGCTTAAACCATTAGCTGAGTGTGGATCAAGGATAGCTCCTTGAGGACAAAGGAAAATTTCAGAGGCTTAATTGGATATCTAGTGAGATAGCATTGAGAATCCAATGGGAAAGAAGGTTGGTTAATGGAATGGAAGATGCTCTAGCGAACAAGTGGTGATTAGGGACCAATTGTGTTGGGTTTTGTAATCTTCCTGGATAGAGAGGAACGAGAGAGAAGAGGAGAGGAGAGGAGAAGAGACGAGAGAGAGGGAGATTTGATTGGGAAAACAAAAAACTATTGCTGGCCCATCCCAGCATAACATTTATATTGACTTAATGTAAAGAATAAGAGGAAAATACAATTATTTCCCTAGCAACTCCCTACTAACAAACAAATAAGAAGAAAATAAAAGGCACATGCTAACAGCATATCAGGCTGACAGCATGCTACCAACAACTGTAAAATAAAAATAAACAACTCTCACAACACTCCCCCTCAAGTTGGGTTGAATATGTCTATCATGCCCAGCTTGTCACATAACTCATTGTGCTGAGAGTATGAAAGTCTTTTTGTGAGGATATCAGCAAGTTGTTCATTGGAATTGACATAAGGGATGCAGATTTCACTTTTTTCCAATTTTTCCCTTATGAAGTGTTTGTCCACTTCAATGTGCTTGGTCCTCTCATGTAGGACAAGATTATTGGCGATGTTTATGGCTGCCTTGTTGTCACAGTAAAGAGACATAGGATTATGAACAGCAACTCCAAGCTCCCCTAGAAGGTTCTTTAGCCAAAGAACTTCAGCCACCCCATGTGCCATAGCTCTATATTCCGCTTCAGCACTTGACCTTGCTACCACACTTTGTTTCTTGCTTTTCCAGGTCACTAGATTTCCTCCCGCGAATGTGCAATACCCACTTGCCGACTTTCTATCATCCACAACACCTGCCCAATCAGCATCTATAAAG